AAAGAAATAGAAGTAGTTACCTGGGACAGGAGGAGGTTTGGCGTATGGTCCCTTCTTTTTTGTGAAGATGAATTCTTTGATGAAATATTGGAAGAAGAGCAAAGAAAAAGTACCCACTACAACAATGGTGGAAAATGAAGTTTTTATGGCTTGAAAATCGTGAAGGATGTGTTCTAATCCTTTTCCATCGAGAAAGGCATCCTTTTTTGGCCTTTCGACCTTCCATTGAGATCATGGATATAATAGTCAAGTAATGTTTCATATGAATCCAATTTATTGTTGCAGGAACAATTTACGTTCTGCTTACTTTGTCAACGGAAAGATTCTTGAGTGTTAATGGTTCTCACTGGATGCTGATGGTTAACCCAATAATAAAATACAATTAGTGATTTAACAATTTTTTTAAAGCGTAATGCTGGAGAGACTAAATCTGTAGATAAAATTTTATAAAAGCGTTTGTTTGACCTTGTTAGCTTTCACTGGATTAGACTGAACTACTTGTTAGTCTAGTCTAGAGTTTGTTCTGTGCATGGGCTAAGTTTAATGGTATTAAACGGGACTCGTGTGGACTAAGTAGCTTGCTAAGAAGTCTTAGCGAGTGCCCCCGAAAACATCGGTACTACTAAGACCTTCGCTTCCTCTCCTTCACATCCCAACACTTGCTTCATTTCTTTCCTAATAACGGGTTTCTTCCCTAATTCCCTCGCCAGTGTACAGACTATGTGATTACACCTGCGTGTAGAAAATCAGGAAGATGGAAATCACGGCCTTGCTGGTCCTCAAGTGAAATCCAGACGAATCTGACCTGATCACCAACGCCTCTGATATCAGCCACTTCGGCTACTTCCAAAGGTCTAAGGTTCAGGAGTTCATCGTCTTCGTCAGTTGCATCGCCGCCAGAGGCAACCCGCCCCCAGCGCTAGTCCATCAAGCACGAAGGGTCTTTTGGTATCTGACATGAATATGAAGAATGGTTTGTGGATAGGACTAGAGGGATCGAACCAGTTGGAATTTTTGTCAAACCAAGAGAGATTGAAGGAGGAAAAGGATGGCAGAGCGGGGATTGAAGCTTGTCAAAGAAGAGAAAGGAAAGGAATTCTCTGGATGCGAAGAAGATAAAGAAAAGGAAAAGGAAAGTAGAGAGAGGGGAAGAGAGTAGTCAGCAAAAAAAAAAGTGACATTAATAATAATAAAATACTAATAAATTGATTAGAAAATAATAAAAGGATTATTTGTATATGAAAATAATTTAGTCCGTAGGTTAGTCTGATATTGTATCAAATGCTTCTTTATTCTTATACTACTTAGTCCATGCCAAGCCAATCCAACTTAGTCCTTCAAGCTAGTCCAGTGTAATAAACGCACCCTAAATGACATGGAAGTTGATGATTAGATTATTAAATGTATTTTATTAATTTTTAATTAGTTTAATCATTTATTATAACTAATGTTGAGCTGATTGATGCAATTATCTTACTTTTTTCTTCTTTTCAATCAAGGAAGGTGAACAGACTACTGATTAAACTTTAAATGTCCTTTATTAAATTTTAATTAGTTTAATAATTTATTTTATAAAATAATAAAATAATAATTTAATTTGACATATCAGTTGGGGAATAAAACTTTAAAAGATGTCAAAGTGCCACATAAGCTGTCAAAAATTTTATATTCAAAATTTGACATCTCCTTTGGAGATGGTCTTAAGAGCATCTTCAAATGGGAATTCAAATTGCTAACTTGGCAATTTGACATATTGTCAATACTTTATTTCCACTCAATAAGCCAAAATTTATTGCTTTATTTATGTTGTTTTTAAACAAAAATAATAAAAGTTGGGTTATTGTTGATTTAAAAATAATAAAATAATACTTAAATATGCTAGCATTTAAAGTAAGGTAAGTGGAATGTCTTTGAAAATATTAAAAATAAAATTTGAAAGCAGTGTCAAATTTGATATCTTTTTGTCCATATGAGCTTAACTTTATTTTCCATATTATCTTTGACATCTCGGTTAAAGTAAATTGTACGTCATTTGTTCCTGTTATATGACTATGTGGTATTTTTGATATCTCTTTTGGAGATAATCTAAACAAATTATTAGTCGAACCGCTGTAAAATTTAATCCAAGGGGTAAGTACATAAACTATTTTAAGGAATTTGAGAGAGTTGAACACACAAGTATCTGCATATTCTTCGTCTCCGTCCCCCAGCCGCCAATCGACCAACGACGATGCACCCTATTAACATGGGCTCCCAAAGCAGCATATCAAATTGATCCCAAACACTCCACAAACCCTGGGGGCCCATGAAGAATTTCAATGAGGCTCCTGTAATTCGAGTGAAAGCCCAAAGACTTTCTAATCGGCCCTTAATATTTAATTTTCACAAAGTATATTTACATTGAACCATGAATCTCATCATAATAATTAATAAGTCTCGACTATTAATAATTAGACATCAAACTTCCAATATACATATATATAGCAATGGGTAGGTGTTGACTGAGATGGGAGACTACATTGCATAGTGGGGCTTTTTTTTTGTTTTTTTTTTTTCCGAAAAAGGAGATCAGCTGGTGGACTTCTCACGTTAATCTATTTTTTTGAGGTTAAGAAGACTTACAAAAGCATTTCAGCATCTTCTGATCATTATTGTGTGATTAATCGACATCATAAATCAAATACTAAATAGTACCATATAAAATACAAACCTAGAGTCGTCTCCAATTACTGAGCTTTCCCGTTGTGGTTTGGACAGTTTTTGGATAGACCAACAATATAATTAAACTAACAACTGAAATAATTGGTGGTTGATGCTTCCGCAGCCTCAAAAATGGAGGCTGGAGTTGTCATTCATCTTTTCAATCATTGACTCGTTATAAGCAAATCCTTTCCCTATTCGTCGCGTGCTCAAACGACCATATGTCATGTCCTTTTCCCTGTCTTCTAGAATTTTACAATTCCCTCGAATAGTGCGAGTTACACAATGAAACATTAATTTATGTTTCAATATAAAACACAGCCACGTGGCTGTATAGTGATGTGTATTAATTTCCGATTATGATACTATTTATTGGAAAAGGATCCTCCCCCAATCTTTTTCTAGAGATCTGGGAGATTCATAAATTATGTTCATTTAACGTACATTATGCGGTTAAAAATTTAAAATTAAATATAAATAGTACTTAATGAAAATTGACCGTACAATATATGATGAACGAACATGATTTCTGGATTCCCTGATCCCCAGATTCCCAGGAAAATGATCTGGCGAATATTATTTTCCTTATTTATTGAAGAGAAATGCTAATGGGCCTTATTAAAAGTGAGATTCTTGGTTACCTTATGATTTTATTACAAAATTTAATAATGTTGGCATTGAAATTATTGTTAAATTATGAGGTGATAGAGACTTAATGAAAAATTCGACTTTTAAAAGAGTTTCCTTAATATTTATCTTTATTGAATAACGAGATAAACTTACTTATCTACCTATTAAGTCACGTAAAGATATACCTCTGAAGATATATACAAGAAATTTTCAATGCATCAACGCATCTACTCATGCACTACAAGTTACGATTTTATATCAAATTCACCATAACTGCATATTTTTATATTAAATTTAGGAAATTGTTATTAACATTTCAAAAATCTCATTATACACTTCAAACTTTTTATATTAGAAAAGAAAAATACGCTTGTAAGGAGTATAGAAGAAAATTTTTGAAGTGCCAATAATATTTCCCTAAATTTATGTGAAATTTCTTAAAATTAAGTTGAAATCGAGTTTCGTTGGACGAGTTGATCATCGGCGGATATTGTTTGGTTTGTTTCACATTGGGTTAACCTAATCAGGCTAATCAAGCTAATGTGGCTGACATAAGCGCTTCCGTCATCACCTGCCTCGATTACAAACGCACTCGGTCGGCGTGAATTAGTCAACTTCCAAATTGTCAAAAGGCCCCTTTTATTTTCCCTGTTATTCTACTTTTACCCCCATTTTGTCTTCTTGTTTATGCATTATAGTTTGAAAGACATTAATCCTACTCAGATTATATAGCTTTAAATTCCCAAAATACCCTTAACGGTTTCAATTGCGCATGAAACTTGGTAGCGCCATCATCGTCTTCTACCACATTAATTTTTTATTTTTCAGGAAGGTTGCACGAACGTGTTCATAGAGAAGGGCCATTCGCAGTCAAAGTCAACAAAGAAATGGAAAGCGACTTGGGGAGGGCCCCCTTGCTCTCCTCTAGAATTGTCGAAAGACCAAATTATCCTCGGAATTATGTGGATTTTATTTTCCTTGGCAACTAATATATTATCTTTCCGATTGACTATCTAGATTAAATTATAGTTTTGACTTGTAAAGTAAGAAATTTTAGGTTTAATTAGTGCTAAAGTTAAATTTGAACCTTATTATTGCTAGTTTATTGTGAGGCTGAACCCATCATCTCTTCCTAGTATAGATAATATCGTTTGTTAAAAAAAAATTAACACAATAGAAAATTAAAATGAACTTTTTCTAGCATAAGTTATTAAAAGTATTTACTCATGTCATGCAAATCCTAAACTTGATCCTCTCTCTTTAGTATACTTGAATTAATAGTAGCAATATATAATATATTAAAAAAAATTCAAAAAAGAATGCCTCCAGCAAAATTCGAGTTCACACAAAAGTATAAAACCATCAAACATGTTTGATGAATCCAAAAAATAAATTTATAAAATGTTGAAAATTAAAAAGGTAAAATAAGATAAGAAGATATTGATTTACTCAAATATTCGAAAAAATAGAGATTAACCACATCCTTCCTTTGTCAGTAGATTATTTTACCAATTTAATTTTTCACATTTTGTTTAAATCATTATTATCTAATGAAAAAACCGGTGCCGTATAAAGATGTGTCACAATTCACAAAAAGGAGACAACAAAGGCACAATCGTAAATAAGGAAAGAAGCGAAGACCATTTTCGTCTACAAATCCAGCCGCCGTTCTAATAAAACCTATCATTTGTCCCAATTGCAGCCCACTCTGCGATTTTCTGGCGATTCCAAATCCACCTGCTTGTGACTCGTGAGTCGTGACTCGCGAGGTTCACTCGCTCCCTCTCTCACTCTCTCTCTCCGGCAAACCACCTCCGAGCTTCCCCCACAAACCCTAATTTTCCCAATCCCCAATTTTCCCCAAATCCCTCCGATTCTGTAACCCCACCTTTCAATTCAACCTTCCCGCCGCCGATTCACCGTCGTCAACCTCCGCAATGGCATTTATCGCCTGCTAGGGTTTCCTAGATCGATCCGGTCACTCTTCGACAGCGCACTGCACTCCTACCTCACCAACCTAATCAAATTCGTACTTATGGCTATCCGCGTAACCCTCAGCTTCTCCGGCTACGTGGCCCAAAACCTAGCATCCTCGGCAAGCCTCCGCGCGGGGAACTGCCGAGGATTTCAGGAATGCTGGGTTCGGTCTCGGGTATTCGGATCCAACCAGAAGCCCGATCTCGACCCCTCCGTCCCCGTCCGCAATTACCAGACCCAATTCTCCCGCTCGAAGCCTTCATCGGCTGCCGTTAAGCCCTTGCCGTCGTTGTACACCGCTCTCGCCGAGGAGATTCTGGGCGAGAGCTGCAAGAGCCCGATCGTGCTGGGCTTGATCTCGCTTCTGAAGTCAACGGCTATCGCCACCGGCGTCTCTTTTGCTCCGGCCTCATTGGGGATTTCGCCGTTTAAATCCGGTTCGGTCATGCCCTTTTTACAGGTCTCAAAGTGGTTGCCCTGCAACGAGTCCGTCCCGGTGTCGATAATGAAGGAAGTGGATAAAGGTGGAACGTTGTGTGTCGATGAGGTTGCAGAAGCCTCGCAGCTGGCTAAGAAAGACTTGGGCAGGACTGGGTTTTTGTCGCGGTTGTTGAATTGTTGCTCGGAGGACGCTAAGGCTGTGTTCACTGCTGTTACAGTCAGTGTATTGTTTAAGTCCTTCTTGGCTGAGGCCCCGATCAATTCCCTCCGCTTCAATGTACCCTACTCTCGATGTCGGTGATCGCGTTTTGACGGAGAAGGTAAGCCATTGTTAGAATTTTTGCCGTGTTTGATTAGTCCAATGTTGGCAATTTGATTGATTGATAGTTATTTTAGTATTGGTTAGTACAAGTAAGAACTGTGAATTTGAACTGGGATGTGGAAATTTAGGCTTGCAAGCATTACTTGGTGAATTGAAATGTAGATAATTTTCTTCTGTTGGTGTTTGAAATTGATTTCGCCTAGTGTCCATCATGCATTATATTCTCAAGCGGAAGATAGTTCAGCTGATATCTTTTCTTCTTATGATGAATCAGGTTTCATATTTCTTTAAAAAGCCCGAGGTTTCAGATATAGTAATTTTCAAGGCACCTCCAATCTTACAGGTAATGTATATAACTACATTTTGTAAGAATTTTCGATTACCCTCCGTTACGTTTTGTAATAAATTTTTGCAAGCGGTGCTGACATTTTCTTCTTCTGTTTTGTTGTGCTGTGTAGGAAATCGGTTATAACTCAACCGATGTATTCATCAAAAGAATTGTAGCTAAGGCTGGAGATTGTGTTGAGGTATTGATCTCATTAATCTTCGCAGTTCAAGGTTATAAGTTTATAGCTCAGGCAGTGTGTTCAAAGAATGGAAAAATTATATGCCATGACTTTTGACATGTTATTTGCTTGGATTTCTATTGAACAGGTCCGCGATGGGAAATTGCTGATCAATGGTCTTGTTCAGAATGAAAATTACATATTGGAGCCGCTCGATTATGAAATGGATCCAGTGGTAGGCTTCCTCTTCTGGCTTCTCATTCATTTCCTTTCCTTCGGTTGATTTGCATATAGAGAGACATTGACGATTGCTTACAAGATTGTTACCTGTGCTTGATGTTGCAGCTTATTCCAGAAGGCTCTGTCTTCGTAATGGGAGATAATCGCAACAACAGCTTTGACTCTCATAATTGGTGAGTCCTTAGTGTTGCACATGAAGATCATAATCCTTCAAATTGAATTGTTATATCCTCGTAACCAAAAAAAGGATTAGCACATCCCTGATATGTTGATATTGTTTACTTCTTGTTGTCAGGGGCCCACTTCCTGTAAAAAACATTCTTGGCAGATCAGTATTTCGCTATTGGCCTCCCTCCAAGGTGTCCAACACCATGTTTGAACCACAAGGACCAAGTAACGCCGTTGCGATTTCTTGACCAGTTGCCCTGTGTTTGCAGGAAGGAGTACCTCAAAATACATTCTTATTCACTTTATCAAGATAGTGAATTTATTTTCACCACTCTTTTGGCTCGTTTTCGAGCACTTTGAACATGCTTCGGATGGATTAACTTATCCATCAGTCTCTGAATCTTGTATGAAATTTAATCTTACTCTAAACAAGAGTGGCGAGGAAAAGAAAGAAAGGTGGAGCTAAAGTTTCCATTTTGTATGATTCATCAAATTATTTTGTTCTTATGTGTTGTGGGAGGTTCAGCTGCCATACATGAGGTTTCAGCACCTGTGAGGAACCAAACATCCGAAGGACGGAGAAGATTTATCTGGAAATACAGCACCTCTCGAGCCGGATGCAGGTCTGATCGCCTTAGATGCCGATGGATGTTATTCTCATTGTACGATACAATGAGACGGAGCCGGTTAACGGATGTTCGCCGCAGATGGTTCTTTGCGGTAATGCTGAAAGCTAGCCCATGAATGAAACTTGACCTCCCTTTTTAACTGTTGCCTGTAGGCCTTAGGCTTTGCTTGCTTCCTTTGAAGCACATCTCTGTAAAATGACGTCTTTGGAGTTTTTCTGTTCCATTTTATAAGACGCATTCTCTTCTGGGTAAATCGTTTTTCGTTAATAATTCAAATCAAACTCTGCTCGTGATTTTGTAGATCGGATTCTACTTCACTTCAAGTCAGCCCAACTTAACGTCATCTCGAGTGAAGTTTCTAGTAAAAGATGTGTAACTCAAGTGGTCAAGCGCATTTACTTCAACTTATAATTCAATATTATAGTTTTTTAACCCTTTTTGTTTGAGCAATGAAAAAAATTCTAATCTAGTTAGGGAATTCTTGTCGATATGTCACCGACAAAAAGACATCATGTTTACTATTGAAGAATGAACCGTTTGATAGAGAATGGATAAGTTATCAAATAAAAATTATTTGATAATCATTTCGCTTATTGAGTTAAAAAATTTATAAAACAGTTAGAAGATTTATCAAGTTTAAATCTTATCCCTGCTCAATAAAACTAAATAAAGGATAGTGCTATCTTTGTTAATTATTTGTCATTGATTGTTTTTCTATTCATTCAATTCGATGATCGGAAATTAATTAGACTATGTTATATGTAGAAACATATGCATGGAAAACAACACCCAAAATAAAACTAATAATAGCAACCAAATGAAAAAAGAAAGTGACAGATAATAAATGGAACCGTCTGATCATCATTGGAACCCAAAACGCAAACACGGCGGTGGTGGTGGGTCAGCTGGTGAGAGAGTGGCACGCGATCCCTTCGGCTTAAGTCAGTCGTTGACGAATCAATACATACACAAAAGACGATGAGGACCGGCGGCGCCACCGTCTCCCTCCTCCTCCTCCTCTACCTTCAGTTTCCACTTCAATTCATTCTCGCTTTCAATTCTTCCTTTCTCAACGACGACACCCAAATCCTGCAGGTACTCTGTCTCTCTCTCCCTCCATCTCTCTCTCCGCTCGATCTCGTCTCTCTCTCTCTGTCACTATTAATTTCTACCTTTCCTTTCCGTTTTTGTGAAATTTGAAGGAGGTGTTGAAGCAAATCTCGGCCAAGCACAAGTGGGATTTGCGGGACGTCAGGGTCTCGAGGCTGGATGTGGACAGGGTCCGATTCGGGAGCGCCCAGCGGTACGAATTTCGGGTCGGATTCGGGAAGATCCACGTTGGCGTCTTGTTCTCGGACGACGTTGCCTCCTGGAAGAAGTTCAGGAAACCCAGAACCCATTTGAGCTCTCTCGTTCAGGACCTCAGCTCCATGGCGGTTGTCGACACCTTCGAAGTGGAGGGTCCGTTTGAGTTGCGGGTTGGCGGCGCTCACGAGCTCTCGCTTTCATTGCCGGTAAGCTCAAATTACAGAATTCAACGCTTAATTGAACTTGAATTTCAGAATTCTGTTAATTTTCTTGATTGGTTCCCATCAGTTTATAAATGATTCGATCAAAAATAGAACTTTTTTTCACTAAATTGTCACTAAACCGGCACTAAACGAACACGGAAAAACATGTTTATTTGGGCTGTTTATTGAACCATGTATTGAGAATTCGTAGAAAGTTCTATTTGTGCATATTTTGCAAGTGTTTCAGAAGTGTTTTTGATTAGTGCTCGCTTGTTGCTCGTTTGGAGTTTTCGGACAATTTCATACACAAATAGCTCGAGCAATTTAGGCAGCGTTGAACACATTATTTGCGTTTATATATTGTAGATGAACGCTACATATAGTGGGTTGAAAAGGATTCTTGTTGGTGAAGGCATAACTGTGGAGGTAAGCAGAGCGATCGAAGTCTCTGTGTTTCATGCGTCTGATCTTGGTTTATCAGCGAATGGCAGTGGTACTGTTAAGAAGGAGAGAAGCGAGTTTTGGTCCATTGGGCATTCGTACTGTGCACCATTAGTTCCAATTCGTGTTTTAGGGCCGGCAAAGTTGGTTGCATACAAGACTCGAAATCATAATGCTCACATTGAAACTAATTTTATATCCAAGGAGATAGTTGAATTGTTGCCAGAGAAGTGCTACAGAAGTCAAGCATACAAGAAGCGGCCTTGCCCCATTGGTTCTTTAAGTTTGAGGATCTCCATGCTGGAAAGGATTTGGAAAGGCTTTCTTGGGGATAGAATGCGCCAGAACCGTTCGTCGGGATTTGTTGAAGGAAAAATCAAAGCCTCAACTATTGTCCGCTTCAAGGTTGAGCTGGAAAGGGATTTTCGGAGGATTGGTGCGCTCCATGACAAGGAAAGGTGGAGAACCAGGCCAACTGTTGAACGGGTTTGGTTTGAAGTTTTGGCGAGAGTTGAGTTAGAGAGGGTTAAGCCTCTCTTTGTTAAAAAGATTAGGCCCCTTGTTGTAGCCGATTCAGTTGCATGGAGTAGTTTGACGTCAAATATTTCCTTTACCAAGTCCGGACCTTTCCTTGTCCCTCCAGAGGCGTTAACACTGGATGTGAAGTGGTAGAGTAAACTTGTTGTAAAGTATTCTTGTTTGAGAATGTTTTGCAGATTAAGGCGACAATGCGTTGTTTGTGCCCTTGCTCTTCTTCGATATGATGGATGAAACAGTACATGTCAATTGTTAGGTAACACGCTCGATTGCTCCTGTAAATAAATTGTTATTAAGAACAAACGTTATACATATTGATGACTTGATACTAGTATGATCTTATTTTGCTTTCGACTATATAATCTGATAGAGTCAGGATTTTTGCTGGACTGTTGCCTCTCCGATCGCTTGAGTCTCATTTTCATTGCATAATCTTTTTCCTTTATGAGTTTCGGTTTCGGTTTCAGTTTTGGTGGAGACTGATACTATATATGTTTGCATGAGAATGGCTAGTCTAGAATAATAAGCAACTATAATGGGGAAATGATTTCCGCACTTTGGTTTTCTCCGTAGTGCGGAAATCATTTTCCCTTATCGTATTGCCCTTCATTTTTAAGTTTGATATCATGTATTCATGTGTTATAAAATGCGTTGTTTTCGTAAGATGGGTTCTCTTAATAATGTAGATGATTATTGGTTTTCATTACAATATATACCTTTCATCCTAGCAAACCCTAATTAGGCTTTAACCATTTCGACCTTCCCATTGTAATCACCTTTCTTAATCACTTCCACCTTTTTGTACTTGTACCAAGGTGCACTTCATTTTTAACTGAACTATTTCTTCAACTTGTGTGACTGTGCTTAGTAGAATCGCTTTTGGTTATATACAAACGTTTTCATTCTAAAAGTACTTCAAAACAAGTCTTTTAGTAGTTTTGTATTTCAAATTGAACTCGAGTAAATTTGTAAGCATAGACAACCTCAATGTACCTGAATTGATCTGTTCTCCGAACAATTTCATGTTCTTCACCTGCTTCTTCGTCATGGATCTCATGCAACTCCTCGTTATTCTCAGGAAATCGAAGTTTTCAGTTTTCTAATGGCAACCACACAAACCTAAACAGAAAACAATCAAGAACAAAATTAATCAACGTCTAATTAAGCATTTACGACAAAAAGCACCTGCCTCCTAACTCAGACGCTGTCATTTTTTTTAAATATTACCGTTTGACACGTCTGCATAGGATACATAAGAGGGGCCTGATCCAAACCACAAAAGTAACACAAAAAATAAGGCCCAATATAGCGAATTTTTTACACGGCTAAGCCCAATACAGCTCACTTCTTACGAGGTCGTTGCGATCCGCGCGAATCCAACTGCTCCCTCTACTGTCTTCTTCCCCCACTTGGCTTCGCATCGATTCGTTTGAACCTGAAACCGACCACCGACACCGACTTTCCGAAACCTTAGTCATTACGTCTCGTATAACCCTGAAACGAACATCCGAACAATCTTCTCGCTGCCGGAAGCACGGCAAACATGGATCTGCGAGAAAGCATCATCAACCAAACCGACGTCGCACTGGGGCTGACGAAGAAGCTGCTTCAGACCGAAGGCAAGCAATCGAACCTTGTGTACTCGCCGCTGTCCATCCACGTGGTGCTAAGCCTGATCGCTGCCGGGTCAAAGGGTCCGACTCAGGACCAGCTGCTCTTGTTCCTCAAGTCAAAGTCCTCCGATCACCTCAACTCCTTCGCCGCCGAGCTCGTATCCGTGATCTTCTCCGATGGGTCCCCCAGCGGCGGCCCCCAGCTGGCGTTTGCGAATGGGGTTTGGGTGGACAAGCCTCTCCCTCTCAAACCTTCTTTCAAACAGGTGGTGGACACTTCTTACAAGGCCGCTCTGGCCCAAGTCGATTTCCAGACCAATGTAAGCTCCCAAACCCTCTGTCCTGTCGTTTCGATTGTTTTTTCGATGCTGCTCATGATCAAAGTCTTCAATTTTTTCGATTTGATTAGAGATGTTTGTTCCTTTTTAGCTGCGAGTGTTGAACCTTAATTGTATGCCTGCTGATGCTCTTTGATTCTTGCTCCAGTTTGTAGCATTTCAACTAATTATTTCCTTTCAGTAATCATTACTGTTTGTGCTTGTGATTGTGAATACCTTAGCCGTTACGGGATCGTATCGTAGTTTTGTTGTTCATTGCTGTTTGTGGTGGTAATTGGTTAAGAGAAAAGAGTCAAAAGGCCCTTGAGATCACACAGCTTCTGGTCCATCATGTTCATATTTTGTTTTTGGATCATCTTGGATTTATGATTGAGAATTGAGTTTTTTTTCCGCATTTTCCCTTGAACTTGTACTCCACTGCCGATTTCTCTTTGAACATTTTGACTAAATTCTGTGCACGGCCTCACATTTCATGTACCAGTCTTAACAAATAACTAATCACGATTGATGACCGGAATGTGACTATTTTGGATTGAAAATTTGGATGGAATGGGGGCAATCACAATGGTAGGGGAAAAATTGGCTATTTTATTAGTTCTAGAGAGAAATTGACCAAAATAAAAGCTTAGGGGAAAATCGTTTGTTGGGTACAGGTTCAGGGGGAAATTGGCTGAATACTCATGCAATTAATTATTGAGGTAAATTATTAAAATTCTGAATAGGGTAAAGTTTTTACGTTTCTCTAATTGGCGGGATTGGCAAGGAACATAGTCCTGCTGGCTACTGCTGAACAATCAATTAATTCCAGTTTTTGTGTGTGTGTGTGTGTGTGAGTGAAGCATGATAGAATTAGAATGGTACATTTCCTAGAGTTGCTTTGCCTTTGTTCTGCCTTTTCATGTAGTTGTTGTAGCTAATGTTCGTCACTAGGTTTCTAGTATGAAGTAATATGTAGGCTGATATCATTGTTTTTTCTAACTTGTTGTAACGGTTGTTGGTGCTCAAGGCTGCTGAAGTGGCGTCGGGAGTGAATTCATGGGCTGAAAAGAAGACAAGCGGCCTTATCAAGGAGGTACTTCCTCCCGGGTCAGTTGACAGCTCAACCAGGCTCATATTTGCTAATGCATTATACTTCAAAGGAGCTTGGAATGAAAAGTTTGATGCATCGACTACAAAAGAGCATGACTTCCACCTTCTCGATGGGAGCACAGTTAAGGCACCCTTCATGACCAGCAAGAAGAAGCAGTATGTAAGTGCCTATGACGGTTTCTCAGTCTTGGGGCTTCCTTACAAACAAGGCGAAGATAAGCGGCGCTTTTCCATGCACATCTTCCTTCCGGAGGCGAAAGATGGGCTGCCAGCTTTGGTTGACAAACTTGGTTCTGAGTCTGGCTTTTTGGATCGCCATCTTCCCAAAAGACAAGTTGCAGTGGGCGACTTCAGAATCCCAAAGTTTAAGATCTCATTCGGGTTTGAAGCTTCCAATGTCCTCAAGGGTCTGGGACTGGTGCTGCCTTTCGATGGTGAAGGAGGTTTGACAGAGATGGTGGACTCGCCTGAGGGAAAGAACCTATACGTTTCCAGCATATTCCACAAGTCGTTCATCGAAGTGAATGAAGAAGGCACAGAAGCTGCAGCTGCTTCTGCCGGCGTTATACAACTAAGGGGTATTCCCATGACAGTTGACTTTGTGGCCGATCGTCCATTCCTCTTCCTGATCAGGGAAGAAATGACGGGAACAGTTCTGTTCATCGGGCACGTGCTCAACCCTCTTGCCGGCTGAGTGTTATATGATTATATCCTCTGTAAAAGACAACGTGTGTACGTAGAATAATACGAGACTTTAGTATTTCATATGTATGAGCATCGTATAAATGTGCTGTATTGTATTATTACCTAATCACCTGTACTTGCAGCAGTTGTCTTGTTTCTCCCATGTGGCGATTGTCGTTCGTTCTGCCACGGCTTTGTAGAAAGGTGGTGTTATTCACACTTTTTGTATTTCACGCATTTCTGTTAATTTTTATTATTAGATCAAATGAATTAAAAGAAAATAAAAGAACATAAATTATATGTGGTGTGTGGAGGTAAAAAGTTTGATGTATGAATCTTAAAAAGTAACTGCGCTCGATTTTGCTCAAAATCTTCCATTAGCTTCATGTACTTCATATTTATTTTTTAAGGTCTCTTTTTATGTTTTCGTAATTCTTCCTTCACTCTTTTTCTCTTGAGTCTCCGTCTTATAATGACATCTTTTAGCTGAAGTATAAATTTTCGGTTCACCTATCCAAATCACTCTTTGTGGAATTTTGGTTTTGAATACTTGTTTTGTGCTACTCATTCGTTTGACTAAAAGAGGTTTAATTCAATTCAATTTTGGTTTAGTGTTAACTAGTCCTAAGTTGACAATTCCAGTATCTTAGTTTCAGACAACTTCATTTGTGGGCACATGCCTCTTGTCCAAGATTCATTTAGAATTTTCACAATTTCTAATCAAATCGTTTCAGAATTATTATTAGTACCTTAAAAGTAGCAATTAACTACATATTTTTTTTTTCTTCTTAGATTTGCATAAAAGATCTTTGAAATTGTCGATAACAACTTTCAAACTCTTTAACATAGCATCGGATGAGTATCCCTAACTGTAGCATGATATGTATACGTGCCTTCGATGCTCTTTGCTCGAGATAATTTAGTGTATGAACAATATACTACGTTGATCACACGCAAAAATTAAGACCATTTGTATAATACTTAAAGCCTATCTGCGGTCCCATCACATAGAAAGAAGACCTCATACAGTGGATTGTGGACAAGAAATTCTCTATTGACTTTAAATGGAGCCCATATAACAATAAAAAGAATTATCCACAACCAACGTGTTGCAATAGTAATCCAACTTTATCATTCACGTAGAAATTTAAATTTCTTTTTTGACACGTTGTTGATTTGAAATACTGGAAATCATTTTCAATAAATAGTTATTGTGTGAGTCATTTTCGCATGATTTGAAAGTATTTATTTTGGTTTTCAGCTATGATTACCAACATAAGATACTTCGTACGGAAAAACATGGTTATGTTAAAGAGAAACGTTATGGTGATTCTTTTAAATTAGAACTTTCATGAACTCTTTATTATCTCATAATTTTTATATAATTTTCATACCAATATTATAAAACATAACATCAAAAGTATAAAATGATAGAAGTGAAAATTTTATTTTTGAAAATGTCTCTCTAACATTTCCCTACATTAAAAAAAGTAACTGGAGCGCCTGCTGACCTCGTTCCAACGGGGACGGCGTGGTTTCACGTGGCTGGCGCGAAATTTTAAACCGTTATATATTGTTAGTTATCTCTCTTGTCACGACTCTCATCC